CAACCACAGCCACAACAACCACCCATCACCTCCCCCCTCTCTCTCACATAACCCTAGCCATCCCGTCCAATGTTCTTCTTAAAATGAAACTAAATTCAATGTTTTCATAATAACTTATATTATAACATAAATGTGACGAGGTACTTTGTGATTTTTTAAATCTTAGATTTGGACTCTTTGTTCTCATGAAATGAGAAAGTCTGATAATATGAACCTTGTAATTTTATTATTTTTTTATTCTTTTATTGTAGCTTTAAAAGTTTAAAAAAAAAAATTATGTCTGTATGGCGCTTTATGATTGGTTGATGGAATCAATAAAAACGAAAATAACAATTTTGCCCCTTCAAATGACAGAAGAATGAGGAAAAATCCAATTAGGACTATAATTGATAACGAATTTCACCACGTGATTACAATTAATAACTTTTTCACCACATGAGTTAATCTAAAAGTAAAGTATCACCACAAGGATCACGAAAAAATTTTGGCCAATTATTTAATACTCATTAGTTTCAAAAATGAAAAATTTAGGGTAATTGACAAAAAACTACCTCAACTATTGGGGTCAAGACAGTATCATACCTCATCTTTTAAAATTGATAATGTCATACCTCATGTTTAGAATTTGATCCAATATTATACCTCTGTAAGCTTGGCCTTGAATTTCTCAGTTAAATGCTGACTTGGCTTGATATGGGGCTCAGTTCCTTGCCAAGATGGATTCCACGTGGCACCACACCTAATGTTTTCCCGCGAAATGGCATCCAGCTGAGATTCCCAATATGTGGCTTTCTCACAGGATGACATGTGTATATTCTTTTAAAATTAAAAATTAAAAAAGGTAAGGCAACGTTGTAAAGTGTGCCTTGCGAATTGGTTTTCCTCCCGATATACCAAAATCTTGTCCATCTAATTCATTCCCAATTCTAGAAAAACAAGAACCTTAACCTTAGTTCTCGTGACTCCAAATCTTAAACAATTGGATTAGAAATTCAGCGAAAAACCCAAACCATCTTGTCGACTCGCTTCCCTAACTTCATTGGTGTTGGAAGGGGGTTTCATCTGGGTTCCATTAGCTTCGAAGACAAATCGAAGGATTCGACATGGGGTGGTACGTGTGCGACGATCTCGATGAAACAACGCCTACCTATTATAAGTTTTTTTTTTGTGCTTTAGGTGATTCCAAATGCATACTGAACTTGGGCAAACAAGAACATGAAGTCCCATTTGCTGATTGATTTGTACATGGACAAGATAAAACTGAATCTCACATGGCCTATGGATTCCTTTTTAGCAACAGTCGAATCAGAGTGGAATCACAGTTGTGGAAAAAGGAAGGCTTACAAGGCTTTAGATAGGGCTTTGAAGATCATTGAGGGAAAACATGCAGAGCAATACACAAAGTTGTGGGACTTTGCTGAGGAAGTGAGGAAGACTAACCCTGGAAGCACAGTGAAGGTGAAGTTGGATAGGGGGAGGTTCCAAAGGATATATGTGTGCTTGGGGGCTTGCAAAAAGGGGTTTAAGTCAGGGTGTAAACCAGTGATAGGATTAGATGAATGTCATTTAAAAAGTGTACATGGAGGTCAGCTACTTTGTGTTGTTGGCATTGACCCAAATGATGAAACATAGGTTATAGCGTATGCAATTGTAGAAATGGAGAATAAGTCTAGTTGGATTTGGTTCTTATATTTATTGGCCGTTGATGTTGGGATTGTCAATCAAGGGGGATGGACATTTATCAGTGATCAGCAAAAGTGGTTAATTCCAGCCTTTTAAAAAGTCCTCCCTAATTCCCACCATAGATTTTGTGTGTGACATTTGTATACCAACTTCAGAAATTTGTTTAAAGGGAAAACATTGAAGGATGCTTTGTGGTCAATAGCCAGAACAACAACAGTTCCCTACTTCAAAAAACGCAATGGAGGATATGAAGAAGCTTGATGAAAAGGCCTACAATTGGTTGGTGAAGAAGTCTGCACATCATTGGAGCAAGTCCCATTTTGAAACATACCCCAAGTGTGACATGTTGCTGAACAATCTATGTGAAAGTTTCAATGTTGTCATACTTGTGCCGAGACAAAAACCTATTGTCACCATGCTACTCCTTATTCACACACTTTTGATGAAGAGAATTCAGATGAGAAAGGATATAATGGTGAACAAGGTTGGAGATCTCTGTCCTAAAATCAAGAAGAAGTTGGACGAAGCCAAAATTCAAAGTGGCAGGTGCATTGCACAATGGTCAGGGGGCGCTAAATTTCAAGTTGATGTTGGAGAATGGGAGCAATATGTGGTTGACTTGGTTGAGAAGACCTATTCTTGCAGAAAGTTTGGCTTGACATGAATCTCATGCAACCATGCAAATAGCCATAAATTTCAAGAGAGAAAAACTGAAAGACTATGTCGATGCTTATTATTCGAAGGCACGGTACTTGGAGGTGTATTCTCATTTAGTAATGTCGATGAATGGGATGTCTTTGTGGAAGGAAACTGATAACCAACCAATATTGCCTCCTACATATACAAGGCAACCTGGAAGGCCGAGGAGGAGGAGAAACAAGGAAGCTGCTAAGAGGTACAATAAGGGTGAACAAACTCCCACAAACCCAACCAATAATCTTCAATGTCCTCCTTAGCCACTTAAGCTAAGAAGGAAAGGGCAAGATGTACTATATGCAACAAGGAAGGTCATAATGCAAGAACCCATCATAGACATCTTCCTCCAAGGGACAAAACATGTAACATTTTCTACTTTGTGTGATTTTTAAAATCCTTTAACATCATATCAGATTCTTAATCCTTTAAATTGTTTTGTAGGCATCCACATTTGTTCAAGGACAATCACCATCAACAATTTCAGCTCAAACTGCACCTAAAAAGAGGACAAGGAAAACAAAGGTAAAAACTTAACCATTTCCTTAGTTTTAAAACATTTGGATTTAGTTAAAAAGCTTGCTTGGTCTCAAATGAACTATGGATTTAGGCATCAAAATCAGTAGCTAAATCACCTAGAAGCATCAAACAGAGAAAGACCAAGCAAACCCATAACTGAATCATCAAAGGCACCAAGCACAGAAATATCAAGCAATCCAACCACGTTTTTTGCACAGATGATTGTTTTTTGTAAAGGAATTGTAAAGTTAGAACATGTTTTATGCATCCAGTACGTATTTTGTGAATTGAATGGATGAAGTAGCAGGTTTTTATGAATTCAGTAGGTTTTGTAATGTTGGTTGGAGATGCTAGATGAATTATGTTAGTTTTTTGAACAAGTTTAAGAATTTCTGGTTAATTAAGCATGTTTTATGCTTAATTTGGTCTATTTCATGTTTTTCTTGGAAATGATGAGTAGTTTGTGCTTGAATACACTTGTTTTGTTGTGGTTATATCATTATTTTTTGAGTGAGATTTTTCTAATTTGAGGTCAAGGATAATAATCTGTCCTTAAAATGGAAGATCATATTTGTTTCAATTTTTGGTGGGAAAATTTGAATTTCAAATTTGAAAATTTGAAATTCAAATTACCAAAAAAAAAAATCAAATATATTTTTAGGAAAACTAATGAAAATAACTTGAAAACTTTGAGTTTTAATGATAAGGACAAAATAAAAGGTAAAGTGAATAGTACCAGGATTGATTTTTTAGTGTTAAAATGTGGTTTTTTGTTAAAGTGAACAGTATCAGGTGCTTTTCGTTAAAGTTCCCTATATTTTTTTGATGTGGATGCCATTTGGCGGGAAAACATTAGGTGTGGTGCTACCTGGAATCCATCTGGGCGAGGAACTGGGCCCTGGATCAAGTCAGGTCAGCATTTAACTAGGGAATTCACGGACAAGCTAACAGAGGTATAATACTGGACCATATTCTAAACATGAGGTATGACATTATCAATTTTAAAAGATGAAGTATGATACTGTCTTGACCCCAATAATTGAGGTAATTTTTTGTAATTTACCTAAAAATTTAATACAAGAACGATAACAAAGAACCCTAACTTTTCTCACCCACCACTCATTTTTGAGTTTTGTGCGAATATGTCGTCACTCAAAGTATGCTTCTTGACGCAATAGAGGTGGATTGAGTCTTTGTGCCTACTATGATTATCTAGATGACGTTGATGTAACCATATTTTTATATAGCCCTTATAACTAGTAACTAGTGGGAGTGCTCATTTGTTGCCGAATTATAAACACAAATGTCTTTTTCATAAACAATTTGGCCCATCAGAATTACATTTTACATATCGAACGACATTAGGAAGAACAAACAAAAATTAGGATCGATGTAATTGTTCTTAACCAATTGAGTTGTAAACTTTTTGTTTGGTAAACAAATACATTGTCTTTTTTTCTAAAAGAACATAGAGGTGCTATTTAATGTGCAATGAGTAAGATAAAAGAATAACTTAGGACTGTTTTGAAATTGCTTAAATTTTTTATATTTTAAATTAGGACCTTAATTGTGTTTGGTAAATTAAAAAAAAAAAGTCTCAAAATTATGCGTCCAAAATAGCAGAAAGCATAAGCAGCTCTATACATGCTTCTCAAAAAGCGTTTTTTTCATTGTAGGCAGGTGAATAATACCAACTAATGAAACTTTTATATCGACAATACTACCCATCTTTTGTGTGTGTGTTTTTTTATGCAAATAGCACTCTAGCCACCATAGTTTACCTAACACTAACATGTTTTTTTATCACAACTGTCATTCTCACATCACAACATAAACAATTTTGAATAAAAAACACAACAACCCAAACTAACCCTTACACGGCATGAGTATTTTACGATATAACATTTTGTGTTAATAAAATAAATACACATGAACAAATCTCGTGAAAATAAAATAAAAACACGTGATTAATTAAAATTTATACATATCTTTATTTGATTAATACAGTACGTTATCTGGGACGATAAACGCGTGGGGTGGGGGCATTCAAATTCCGATTTTACTTGGCACCGTAAGCAAATCATTTTACTTTTTTGGTCGGAGGCCAAATCTTATTTAAACTCTTATTTCCACATTTCGTATTTCATCAATTTCGCTCTCATCACATACACAATTTACGCACATTACAAAACCATCGTCATCACCTTCACTTGTCTCTGTTCCTCTCTGCCTCTCTTGCTCTCTCTGTCGCATCAGACGCCATTAAACCTACCAGATCTTCGGTACCCAGGAGTTAAATTTTTGAAATTATCATTCCATGGTGAGAGAAATGAGGGAGGAAATGACGTACGGAATCGAAGAAGGTGAGAGGGAGGAAGAAGGTGGGTTCCCTAATACCAGTCATAAGAGATTGGTGGTGGTGGGTTACGCTCTTACCTCTAAGAAGATTAAGAGCTTTTTGCAGCCAAAGCTCGAAGGTTTAGCTAGGTAATTAATATCTGTTTGTGGACCTTAATCACAATTTGATAATCTGAAAAAACCCTTCTGTTTATGTTTTCTGATGTGCCCGTGAGGATTGATTTGCGGACTGAATTTGTTGTGATGTGGGGTTTTTCCGATCTGGAATATTCCAGTCCCTACTGTCATTTTTGTTTGGCTGGCGAGAAAGTGAAAGAAAGTTGCGGAATATTCTAACCATCAATTATTTCTCGACCAAGTCCTGAGATTTTTTATTTTTTATTCTTTAGGAGTTAAGGGCACGCAAAAGTTGTGTGCTTTTAAGTCATTTTCCAATGACCCATTTATTAGAAATGCAATCACGTTTGTAATCTGGGTTTAATCCAAAATATAAAATTGTAAATTTGTTTTTATGGAAATTGCTAATCTGTGTTCATACGCATTTGCCAGAATTTGAATTTCTAACAAGTTTCAAAATTATGAATATGCTTTGTGTCACTTGCATGTGTACCAAGATTAGTGGTTGAATGTTAAATTTTCCTTTTCAATACTATTCAATTAGTGTGGATTTTTTCATTCTCTTAATTTCCTTGTGATGGATAGCTTTGATTCGGAGTTTCCGTGTTGGAGTTATGTCTTTGCTCTTTCAAGTAATGGTGATGTTGTCATGCAGTGTTTTCTTTGCTCTTTCAAGTAATGGTGATGTTGTCATGCAGTGTTTACTCAGGTGTTTCCTTACTAAGTGTAATACGTTGTTTTGTTTGTTTAATGCAGAAACAAGGGGATATTGTTTGTTGCTATTGATCATAACAAGCCCCTTTCGGATCAAGGCCCTTTTGACATAGTGCTGCATAAGGTTAGGAAATTTCCTTTAATCAGTTGCTTATCTTGTTCGGTTCCAACCCGTACGATGAGGGATTTAGTACAAGTTTTCTTCCCGCTGTATTCATTTCACCATTCATACCCACTATTGATTTTGGTCTGATAAATGTAGATGGTCAAGAGTAACTCATACATTTTTATCGTTTCTCTCTTGCAGCTGTCTGGAAAAGAGTGGCGCCAGATTCTTGAGGTTGGTTTCTGTAAATTTCATCATTTTATAGCCTTAAGAACTTATATTCTAGACTGATTTGTCTTGAAACCACACTTGCTGCTTAAATTCAATATCCTCATCTTGTGCATGACATCATTTATACATTGTACGGGATCAAATAATCACTGACTTGTTGGTTGGCAACCAGAATGTTAAAGCTTAGAACTTATTCCTGTCTGACGACACGTGCAGAGTGCTTCTCTTTCCTTCGTCATGAATTATGACTCTGTAGTTGAGGTCGAGGCCTCAAGCCAGCAAGTGATGATGTTTCTACTTCCATGGCCATCTAGCTGAGTTTTTCAGGTTTTCTAAGCATTTTCTTGTGGAAGATTCGTGATTCTCTTCAATGGGTTCATGTTTTCAGGGTATAACTAACCCTCACTGTCAGCTGAATGGGAGTTAGCGAACTTGAAGTGATGTGAGTGAATTTAGATTTGGTACACCTGCTTTTGAGTGTCTAGGGCGCTATAAGTTCTAGGATAAGGTCTGCAAAAACCCTTCCTCAAAATCCTATTTCGGGCGCTGGTTGTGATGGCTGGTCCAACATTTGGGTGCATTTAGATTGCTGGCCCTCAATTATACACTGGTAGGATTATAGCTGCAAACTTTCCTATATTGGCTGGATTGATGTTTTATGTTATAACTTGTAGTCGCTTGTGCTTATGGGAGAGTATTAAGTAGTAGATTAAACAACTTAGTATGTTTGGTAATTGATTAAAATCTTGAACGACCTCAGCATGAACCATATACAAATTATATCCTGATTTCCGTTATTTTCTTTCCTTCCATGGCATGTAAACTACTTCTTTGTTGTTTAGAAAAAATCCGTGACATGTAAAGGTCATGTGGGATGATGATTATGCAACTAACACTTTGGACTAATCAGAATTATTATTATTTTGGTGGGCTCGATCATAGTCATTGTGATTGTGGGTAATGTGTCCAAAAGCATGGTTATGTTTTCCGGACAAATGTTGTGAGTGTCACTCAATAACTACCTTTTATTGTTTCTACTGGTGGTTTTCACAAATCAAATTTCAAGTCAGTAATTGATGATCTATGTTGTGTACAATTGACCCATTGTCAGCAGCCTGCATTAGGCTTATAGTATTATGAAACTTCAGTTAACATGTAATTAGCATGGTATCTCTTGTCATGCAATACTTTTTCTGTGAAGTCCTTTCTCTATATATCTTGGAAATTGTTAGGTTTTCTATCAGTATACTGAATTCTAATCTTCAGATCCAAAACACTCAGTTTAATAGGAAGTGAATATTAAGTTATTAACATGTCCATTGTGTCCCAAATAGGATTCTTTGGTTCTATGACCTGTAATCAGTTACAGTAAACACAATTTATTCAATCTATCTGATATAAGATCATTTACTTTTTTCCTCTGCTTATGCCTGCTAGTATTCCAAAACCTTAATGAGGACGTAGTGTGTTCATCTTTTGTTACTTTAGGTTTGTACTACAACTTTCATAAGTTTTGAAACAAAGGGTTTAAGAAGGAATATTTTACGTTTGCCAAATGTTGGAAATTCTGGTGAAAGTTGATTGATCGTTGTTTCCGTGTTAGACTACCGTATTTGACTATTTTCTTATTTATACATCTTTGTGATCAGTAACAATGATTTTCTGTTCAGTTTTGCTTTGTGTTGAATAATGAGGGAAGGTGGTGCACATACATATCCACATTCAAGTTGTTTTCAGGAACAATAGTTTGCACAATCCAATCCTGTTTTAAATGGACATTTCAAGTCCTTGTCAAAATTTTATTGTGTAATTACGTTAACAATGGGACAATAAGGGTTCAATCTATTCTTTAAAACTGGACCAGAACGACTCTCTTCCCCCTCGTCATTTTTTGTCCATGTGCTGCACTGTCCTTGTATGCAAAAGACTCAAGTATTTATACATAGCACTGTATTTTGTTTGCTTTCTTCTCCACCTATGTTCTTGAAAGAAGCTATTGGAAGGCTGGCATTTTGTTCTATGTACGATTCATCATGGCCTAGGTTCATTTTCGTATTTGTAGAAATATGATATGGACTGGAATTGTATGTTTGCTTTAAAGGTGATGGATGACATCTTATGCACAGTCCAGGTTTTTTTGTTTGTTTGTTTGAGGGGTACTGTTACTGGAATTTGGTCGGATTGCTTTACTCATTTAAATCCTTATTGTTTTGCAATATTTGTTATGTGCTTTGTAGAATTTGGGTTGTACTCCCTTGACAACCTTTTTTCTTCCTTATATAGGACTATAGGCAAACACACCCAGAAGTCACCGTTCTTGATCCTCCTGATGCCATACAACATTTACACAATCGTCAATCCATGCTCCAGGCGGTTGCTGATTTGAACTTGTCTGACTCTTATGGTAACTTCTGTGCTTTTTTTCAAATGTTGGATTACCCGAGAATAGTATTTTGCTTGAACTTTGGCTCACACGTTTTAGTCTGAGAGTCGGGTTAAATTATAAGCATGGCAACTGAAATTTTGTCCTTAGTGATGCTAAAGGTAGTGCTATTGATGAATTCATGCAGGCAAAGTTGGGGTTCCCAAACAGTTGGTTGTTAAGAAAGATGCATCGTCCATCCCTGATGCTGTTGCAAATTTTGGGCTGAAACTACCCATTGGTATGGTTAATGTATTGTAGTAATTAGTTATAGTAAATTATCAGGATCATTTGCTTACCCGTTGGTGTTATGTTACTTAAGTATTTTCTGTTAAGAGACATAAGTTCCATATCTGTAATTTTTTCTGGCCAGTCTTTTTTGATAAATGTACTGATTTTATGTTTCAGTTGCAAAGCCACTGGTCAATGATGGAAGCAAAAAGTCACATGAATTATCACTTGCTTACGATCGGTACTCTCTCCAAAAGCTTGACCCTCCTCTTGTTCTTCAGGAGTTTGTAAACCATGGTATGCAACTAAAATCCGTATAGTTTCTTATCATTATGTCCTGAGTAGCAGCACAAGCATATAATAATTATTGAACTTTCACTTGTTTCCTGGTTATAGGAGGCGTTCTTTTTAAAGTCTATATAGTTGGTGAAGCTATAAAAGTGGTCAGGCGTTTCTCTTTACCGGATGTTACGAAACGAGAGCTCTCCAAAACGGCTGGAGTATATCGTTTTCCGAGGGTTTCTTGCGCTGCAGCGTCAGCAGATGATGCAGATCTGGACCCATGCATTGCTGGTGAGTTTTCCTGTCCAGGAATTCAGGTTCTTCCATTGCATGTTTACAAGTTTTGCATTTACTGGCTTTTCAAACATAAAGTTTGTGTTTTTTTGCTGGATTTTGGACTCTTGAGTATAATTTGGCATTGGTTAAAAAAAACAAATTAAATTGGCTGGGTTGAGCCGGCAACCGGGGAATGAACAGTGAAATTCAACATTTCTTTATGTTTTTTGTTAGGCGCCAATTACTATTGTAGTGGTTTTGAAATTTCTATCTTGGCTGTGAAGTTTAAATGCAGGGTTCTCTAATACCTGTAATTACTATTTTGCTTGCAGAACTTCCTCCGCGACCATTACTTGAGAAACTTGCCAAGGAACTTCGCCGTCGACTGGTAACTCACACTTTTCACTGTGGTTTTATGCCATGGCCAGGTTGGAAGTTGGAATTAATGAGTTTGTCCTGTCTTTATATAGGGTCTGCGATTGTTCAACTTGGATATGATCCGAGAGCATGGGACCAGAGATCGGTTTTATGTCATTGACATTAACTACTTCCCAGGTAAGTGAATAATCTTTCTCAGTTATCAATTTACAGCTGACTGAGTTCAGCGTCTTATTTACATCAGTATGTTGACTTTATCGATTGCACAAACAGCAGTCATTTGTATGGTTGTTAAACTGGCCTTGGAACTTTTTTGCAGGGTATGGGAAAATGCCGGAATATGAGCACATATTCACGGACTTCCTCTTAAGCCTGGTGAAGGGGAAGCTCAAAAAGAGATCTGGCTGAAAACTTTTCCATCGACTCTGCTTCGAGGTGACAGTCTTAACGCAGATAGCAAAGCACCTAAATAAGATTCTGCAGGGCAAGGTTCCGTCCCACGTACAGTGACTGGTGTGGATCCCTGCCGATGGCTGAAGGAGTATGTTTGTCCGTACATTCAAGTTGCTAACGGGAGATGTTCAGCCCGGAATAATGCATCGTGTACAGAGTTCTCATAAATCTAACGGCTCTGTTTGTTGGTTCGTTTTCTTCCTACTCGCTTGCGATGTTGGCAGGTAACGTGAGCAGCTGCTGATTACACAATCACATACTTTGTCGGGCTTTTTATGTAGGACGTGCATATATCCCTGCGATGTATCAGTTTAATTTCGGATTTGATCTGCATTTTCATTTTTGAAGCTAATAAAGATCGAAAAGATGCAATTCTAGTGTCCCTTCGTTTCTTTAACTCATCCCTTTTCTATTTCTTGAAAGTTTATGATGCACCATCGTTTCCATACGAAACAGCTTTTTACGAACACCGAAATTCGAGGGATTGTTTCTGTCGGCATCATCCGGGTTCCGGTTGTGCCTTGTTATGGTCTGGTGATCAAATTGCGATCATGTTAGCTTGTGTGTTGGTTTCACGCCAGCAATCAAAATCTGCCTTACCTCTCTCTCTCTATCTCTATGCCTTGCGTCCATATCAAGAAACGAAAATCGCCTTAAGAGTTTCAAGACTAACAAAAAATCTGTAGAATTTAGTAGATTGTGCTGATTTCGAGTTCGTATCAAGCAACGATTTCCCCTGCTTGAAAAATGGTTTACTACGTCATCCTGAATTATGTTATTTAGGTGTTACAAAGAATAAACTGTGATTTTGACAAGACACGCTAATTAGTTGTTAGAGAGATAACTTGATTAGAAATAATCGGTTTAATTTGTTATTTCGGTATTAAATGTGTAAATATTAAAATCGAAGATTCGAGTAACGCGAAAATATGAAACCAATGATTCAAACATTTCGAATTTCTCCGATGTAAGGTGAAGTTTAGATTTCACTCCCCATCCCATTTCCTTGTCTGATTTTTCCAATATTTCCCCATTTCCGCACTTGGATTTTGAAATCTAAAGTTTCTTAATATCCAAACAAATGAGTACAAATTCTGATAATTCAATTTAAACAAGTAAATATAAATTAAAATTAAACAAACAGAAAACAAACTTCAAATCTCCAAACTTTAAATTAAACAAAACCAAACATAATAACATGGATTAATTGAGGTAAATAAGAAGCTCTGCTGACTGAGACCGACTACTCAGTAGAGGAGGACTCTTCCGGAGAAGATGCAGAAGCAGAAGCAGCTTCCTCGGCACTAGAGAGCAAGGTCCACTCGGCAGGGAGAGGAGGGAGGGGGGCGTACACAGTGGGCTTGCGCTTAACGTCCCACGGCTGCGTTTTGCGCGGCCGAGTCTTCCGGTGGTGCGCAGTCGCCTTCTTCTGTGGCCTTGACGAGCACTCTATCACGAACCCATCACCACCGCCGCCGTTACCGGTGGTTGAGCCGCGCCATGGGGCCGAACTGGTCACACCAAACGACGCCGTCGCAGATGGGTTCTTCACGGGCACACCCACCGCCACGAATTGAGACCCCAACACACCCGAGACTGACATCTTCGCTTCGCTTGGGTTGCTCTTGCTTTTGCTCCTCTGTTTGTTCGTTCGGGGATAACGTTGAGGATACCGCATTTATCCTTATTTGTCTTGGACCTTGGGTGTTTAAATGGGCCTTTTGCTTTGCTCATTGGGTCCAATTCAACAATATGAGCAGCCACCAATCTTGCCATTTCCTTGGTTTTTGAAAACTTTAACGAAAAGTTCGTGGTACTGTTTACTGTAACGAAAAACTATATACAAAAAAGACTTTAAATAAAAAAAACAAGGTCAGCTGGGGCTAATCTAATGGCTACCATATTGCCACTTAGTATTACGGTCTATTTTCTCTTTATGTGTAAATGAGAGGTCTTAAATTCCAAAGACGAATTTGAACCATACTTTTACTGACCCATTGTGAGGTACAGGTCAATACCGACAACGCCTTCATTTTTAGTATAGAGTATATTTTGGTTAAAAAAAAAATCCACCATTATCGGTGATTTTGATTATCAATTCAAATCTAATAGCCAAAATGACCAAAATGATGGATGATGGATAATCTCAGGGACCATTTTTATCGATTGAAATGTTAAGACAAGTAATGAGTATGCAAATTCATGACCCATTTTAGCTATGAGCCAAATTCAATTAAAAAAAAAAAGCCAACCAGAAAGTCTCAACAATGCAATAACAGTTGAGCTATACCGAAAGTTAAGCTCAGAGACCATTAAAAGAAACTAAGGAAACAGGGCATAAGGGAGCTTTGCAACCTCCAATGTTTGCAGTTGATGATAGCCAGAATGGTGGGAGAATATGTGTGGGATTACTGTCAACAGGTAAGCTAATGTCGAATTTGGTGTCAAGCCCTAATTTGTTTGCGAAACACTCGATATAGAGAGTCACAAGAAAATATGCCCGCGCATCGCTGGGACCACTATTCAGGCTCAAATCGGAATGAAATTACAAAAACTCAAGTAAACCCGTAAACTCTCAACTCCTCAACTCCATCACTCTCCCACCATTGTTTCTAATTCACCTCTTCTTCAACTTTTTTATAAAATTATAATATAACAATTGAATGGTCCATTTCAAATCATATATACATAGACAGAAAGGCAAAAACTAAACTCCCACCACATAAGTAATCAGTAACCAACAAAGCAAAATCTGGAGATCAAAAAAACCCAATTGAATTTTCGAAGCAAGTTTATTGTAAAAATTGAAAAAAAACATATATTTTAAGTTGCCCAAAATTTAAGCTTTGACCATTATTTGTTCTTCTAACCATATAGTTTTCCGGCCTTAGATAGCTTGGCATAAATCATAGTTGACTATATCGGTAAAATTTCGATTCTACTCTTTTAACCGGCTCGTACTTAAAGCCATGAAGTAATTTAGGCTTATCTGTCACCGTACAACATTATCAAGAAGTGCAATTGCAGTTTTCAACCTATGCGAGTCTCTCTTCTCTCTCTCTCTTTTCTCTCTCTCCTCTTTCTTCTCATCTCTCTCTCTCTCTCTCATCTCTCTCTTCTCTCTCTCTTTCTCTACTCTCTTCTCTCTCTCTCTCTGACAACCAATTTAACTTTAGTAATTAAAAGAAAAAAACCAAATTATGAGCACCGACTAAAAAAGCGTCAACAAGACAGAGCGTCAACGACGAAGCATATCCTCCAGGTAGCCGTTGACATACCACTCTTTAGGTCCGCCCGTCTTTGCAACAACTATTTTTTTTATATAAAATTGAAAAATGACTGGTGATGATCTAAGTAAATGCCTGGAAACGACAGACCAGCAAACTCGTCGGTATTTAAAACATGATACTCCTTGAAAACAACTGTCAAGAATAACTATCCAGTAACGACGCTATGCCCCTTTGATATGGATGTTAAGACATCGAAAATTAGCATATTATTTCGTGGACGAACAGTTTATACTTCTGATATTATCAAGCACTAAAGTGACAACTGGCGATACACTGATTTTTCTTAAATGGTCAGTAATGTAATCGAAAACTTCGTCCTATAATTTCAGTCGAACCTCAACGCTGTCAGTTCGCCAATTGAGCGATACTTCCTCGTACTTCGCTCAATTCACCAAGGATGATTTGAGGGGGTACCGTCATGTATCTTAAACCCAAACCCAATAATAATCTGCAGCATGACAAAATGTGTATTAATCCATTACTATTGCAGTCACTAATATCGTAGAAAAACTAAATCTAAGCCATACACAATTTTAGGTAAATAACGAAAGCAGGCCGTGCCAATTGAAAATCACATGATTAATAGTTGAATGTTTACGCACGCAGAAGCGGAAGAGTGTGTGCGGTGGTTGTGTCACCAGAATACGACGACGCAGACGACAATTTGCTTGTTTTGCGAAATTACCTCCGTTGCATCCGGGTCTTGAGTTACTACATTTAATTCGGATTAACTTTTGATTACAAAAACATTTGAAAGAATAATGGTAAAATACCATTTTAGGTTATTCTTCACTCTGAATCACCTTATGCCTACATACTTAAACATTAATTTACTTTTCCTATTCGTTGAATGCAAGAGCAGTACCCATCTGCAAGTTATTTTGCGAGAGTCAAAAACCAAAATTCGCAGAGTTATTTGCGGTGGGAGGAATGCTACCTGGTTGATGTGCTGTAGCCAGTATGCATGCTTAGTCTCATTATTTTAATGCTTTTTGATAATCAAAATTAAGTATCCATTCATTGTAAGTGAAATATGACAATTAATTCTCACAGTAATGAACTGGAGATAATAACTGCCATGTGCACATTAAGATCAAATTTATAACTATTTCGTCATGTCTATCATGTACACATTTTCACCATAATACCACAATCTCCACACCAAATCCAAACTACCCCAACCAACCTATCAGTAAATTTCTCAAATCAATCACCACTGCAATCACCCATAAAAAAACTCAGTATTTAACAACAAAGCCCACTCTTTCCTGGGACAGGTTTTTTCTGTATAGATCCAAGCCTTTTATCATGATAGTTGAATTTTTTTGCTAAGGTGTAGACCATGCTGAATGACAATGTTGTAAAATTTGGAGACCACTCCAAAGCAGTAAGCTAAACAGATTAGAACATTAAATCTACTAGAGCAGACATAATTACAAATCAACCAAAGACAAGCAGCATAACCAGTTTCTTATCTATATGCTCTTTAGTGGCCTTCTTGAACTCGTTTCGAAAATTATGTGTTCGTTTCACACACAAAATTTGTTAACTCACTTAACAAGAACCACTCCTAAATTGTTGTTAGCCAAATTAAGCCGAAAATTGTCAAACAAAAATTACAATCTTTTCCTGTTTTTTTCAGACTTTCCGCGACCACCAAACAGCAGAATCATGAATGAATTTTAAGTAACAAAAAAAGAACCAAAAGACGAATTACCTAAAGACATTCAAGGGTCAAAACTGGTGATAGACGCCTGGAATCTGAGCTATAGCTTATTAGCTGAAGAGGTGGGTGGTGAGTTTGTGAGCAAGAGCACTACTGCATCTGCCAAGTATTTTGTCGGAGAAGGGGTCATTTACAAATCTACTAATCTTTTTTGTTATCATAATAGCATGATCTACCTGTAATGGAGGTGGGGTGGTCAGTTGTGGCCCACAACTTGTGTGTGGGTGTGCGTGTGTGTTCAGTAACCATCAGTTAATCATATATCAATATAGCACATCTGCAATTCAACCTATCCAATTCAAAGTAGTACATCTCTAATTCAACATATTCAATTCAAATTAGCACATATCCAAATTCCAATTCAATAAACCACATATCCAA